GAAGCCGGGACCCGGCAAAGCAGCCCTACTCCCGCTCGCAGACGAAGAATTTGAGAAAGGAAAAGTCGATGAACTTGGTGTTCTCCCCAGCTTCCGTGCACGCATCCTCCCCGTACTCGGAACTATGCCTGGCTTCTTCGGCCTCTGCGTCGCCAACCACATCTTGACCGAGATTGCTGGATATCCGATGGAATACTCGCTCGGCAAGAACCGGACAAAACTCTACGAGGATATCCAAGCGAAACTGGCGGGTCAGGAAAGCCGCCTCCGAGGCAATCTTCCGGGGTTGAGGCTCACCATGACCGAATCTGATATCGGATATATCGTCGAAGAGGTATTCAAAGGAAAGAGTATAGTCTCGGATTACCCCACCCGGTTACTCTTAACACGATGGGAGCCATTACCGCAACGCAACGAGGGACACTGGGGAGAGGATGACCACCGATTACGAATTGACCATGTGGTATTGATGACAAAGGAGGAGGCTAAGAAGCATGAGAAGGAAGTTTTGGTTGGTCGTAAGTCGGTGGAAGATGTGTGGGGAAAAGAGGTTGTGGATAAGGTTAACCAACGACGGCAAGAAGAGGCGCATTATGCAAAATTTAGATAGATCGGTTGCATGTGAAAATAGAGAGAATATCTAGAACGTTTCGTGCAGCGCCGTACCCAGATCTGTATGCTACTACCCCAGATAATTGGACACCGATTCTCTGGCTGCAGGCGATACCTATTCATGTCGGATCGACTTAGATTGTTCCGAGAGCGCGCGCCTCTCCCGGGTGCATTGGATGTTGCACCGCCTTGAGATGCCGTGCAGTTGCAACATTTTTCTCTTGAACCCCCCGCGCCACTTCAGCCTTGTGCTTAACCTTAAACCATCAACAACACCCATGGTCTCGCTCCTCTCCAACCCTCTCGCCACCGCAGAACAGCTCGCAATTAGCCCCAGCCAATCCGATGGCCTCCCCGCCGACCTGGAAGTATCACTCCGCTGGGCCGGCAGCACCCTGATTCAGAGCGCCGGCATCCTCTTACGACTGTAACTCTCCGCTGCATCTGCACCTCCGAGTCCCAGCGCCTGCTAATCACTACAGACCCCAACCGACCATCGCAACCGCCATAATCCTACTACAACGCTTCTACCTCCTCGCTAGCCTCCGCTCCTTCCCCGTCCTATCAACCTCGCACGCCGCAATCTACCTAGCAGCGAAACTTACCGAGACACCCACAAAGCCACGCAACATCATCAACGTGACAACATACCTCCTCAAAACCTCTACACCATCCCCCATATCCCCCCCCACTACATCCGCAGAGATAGACCCAGAATCTTACTATGTCGACGACCGCACATACCTATACCACCGCACGCGGCTTCTCGACACAGAAACTGAGATCCTGAAAGCGCTGGGCTTCCAAACACATACTGCGCTCCCGTACACGCTGGTTGTGAACTACGCTCAGGCGCTGGATTGTCTTACCAAGAGCTTACTAAAGCGCGGGTTTGGGTACCTCACCGATGCGCTCATGAGTCCTAGTGTAGTGTATCTAACGCACCAGCCAAATGCGTTGGCGGTTGCGGCACTGTATTTAGCGGCGAGGGATGAGGGGGTGAAGTTGCCGGAGGTGTGGTGGGAGGTGTTTGATGTTGAGAGAGAGGATTTGGGGTTCTTGGTTGCGGTTATGAGGGGTGTTGGAGAGTTTGTGGAGGGTCAGGTAAAGAAATGGAGAGGGGAGGTGATCCCGTGGGAAGGAAGGGAGTTGGAGGGGGAGCTGGAGAAGCGGAGACGGTGATGTGTGTATGATACGAATCAGTCAATGGCATTACACCTCAACTGCAAGTCAAGGCGCTCAATAGGAAGAGCTGGACTCCACGTTGAGGGGAAAAGGAATACAAAAGAATAGTTCCCGAAGGGTTTGAGCCTGCAGTCCCAGTGTTTGTAGCACTATGGTCTCAGCAGGTTTCTAGCTTGCGACCTTAAGTGTTATGGCACCGTGAATGATTAGGGCAAGCTTCGAGCTTACTACTTGTGTTTACAACATTATCATATCTGCAGGTTTCCAGCTTGTAACTTTAAGTGTTTACAGCACCGTGAATGACCAGAACAGGGTTCGAACCTGTTCCTTGTGTTTATAACACCATGCCCATACGTGTTATGACATAAGCGATTAGCTCTTGTATATGCGTTGGTTAAGCCATGATTATAGTCTAGAGACCAACCCGTAGCAGGATAAAACAAGAGAAAGAGAAAGAGAGATATCTGCAGGTTTTGAGCCTGCTTGCGACATCAAGTGTCTACAGCATTATGAATGAATCCTGCAGGTTTTGAGCCTGTCTGAGACTTTGGGTGTTTACAACACTGCAGTGGTCATAATTAATGCAAGTTTTGAGTCCGCAACATGTAAGCGGGTGTGTTTAAAGCACCATGCGGTCCATGCTCCACCCGCTAGGCCAAGTGATCAGTTCTTGAAATCTGCATTGTTTTATAACCGTCTACTTGTAAGTGTAGAAATTGATTCGTGGCTGAGCAAAAGAGTTATCTTGCAGGTTTCGAGTCTGTGTTTAGAGTACCGTAGGTTTCAAGCCTGCGATATTTGACCTTTTAGTGTTTTCAGCACCGTCAGAGCGGGTTTCGAGATTGATATCTGGTGTTTAGGGCACAATACCCAGCTGGTTAGGCTAGGAAGTCGATGTCGTTTCTTATATCGGCTTTTATACAAACTACCCTCGAGCTCATTTCAAAATATTATACAGAATACCCCTCCCTTCCCTACAAAAAGTGATGAAAGGAGTGCAAAATAAAACAAAAAACCAGCGATAGCATACAGTGGTGACTGACAGCTTGTGCTCTTGGTGGTGGTGGTGGGCTATTATTTTTGTAGTGTTGTGAAGTTGAATAATAAAACAATGGGTCGGTGCATTAATTTAGATGGCTAGCGCATTGACTTAGATGACACCAAACCATAGAGATGTGTTTGCAATGGCATTGTGTCATTCTGAGACGACTACCACATATCACAATATCTAAGTAAATTTATGAACTCAATACCACTACATAGATAGCAACTTGAACTTCAAAATTATCAGTTTTAACTTCGAAGCTTATCCAGTTATAGATGATAGGAGTATTCTGTATAATATTTTTGAAATAAGGGTAGTTTGTATAATACGGCTCCCCAGAGTCATACTCTATATAAAAGCCGTTCTTATATCTTCAGAATTTTGTCCATGATCATGTAAACCATGTATCCATATACAAGTGCAGCAATCAATCCATGGACCGTTACCAAAAGTCAGGCTCCGTAGTGGAGCAAAAGAATGATCCCCATAAGTTTCGAGCCTGGGAACTCAGTGTTTATAGCATCTTGAGTGATCAGAAAATGTTTAGAGCCTGCTACAATAGGTGTTGAACCTACGTTCTGAGCGTTTAAAGCGCGACGATGTTTCGAACCCCGGTGTTTACAGCACCTAATACGTGGTGTTTATTGCATCAGTACCGGATAATTAAGCTAAGTCATCAGCTCTTGTATATGTGATGATTCCCACCATTTTGTACAAAGCCTAGCTGGACCTCGAAGCGCAGAAGCAGGCCAAAAAGTGACAGGTTTGGAGCCGTAGTCTGGCGGTTGTAGCGCCATGAGGTTTTGAGCCTAGGTCGTGCTCTGACGTTTAGAGCACCTTTGACTCAGAGGTTTCGAACTCTGGCCCGGTGTTTACAGCACCTGATGTTTGTAGCACCAGCTGAGCTAAGTTATCTGTTATTGATATTCACGTTGGTTTCCACTATGTTATACTATGTACAAGACCTAAGCTAGATCTCGAAGGGTAAAAAACAGGACAAAAGAGTGGGCACCGCAGGTTTGGATCCCGTGGTCTAGAGTTTGTAGCGCTGAGAGGTTTTAAGCCAAGGGACGTTTAAAGCGTGATGAGGTTTCGAACCTGGTGTTTATTGCACCTGGTGTTTGCAGCACTATAACGGCTAGGCTAAGCTATCAGCTCTTGAAAATGCAATGATGTCTACCATCTTGTACAAATCCTAAGCTGGGTCTTGTTGGGCAAAAGAATGGAAGTGGTCTAGCGTTTGTAGCGCCATGTGGTTTTGAGCCATGAGGTTTTGAACCTATGTCCTGACGTTTAGAACACCATGACTGGGAGGTTTCGAACCCCGGCCGGTGTTTACAGCACCTGGTGTTTGTAGCACCGGTTAGGCTAAGCTATCAGCTCTTGTGTATGCAGCGACTTTTACCATCTTGTACAAGACCAAGCTGGATCTCGAGGGTAAAAACGGAGCAAAGAGTCAGCACCATAGGTTTAAAGCCCGCGGTCTAGCGTTTGTAGCACTATGAAGTTTTGAGCTATGAGGTTTTGAGCCATGAGGTTGTGAGCCATGAGGTTTTGAGCCTGTGTCCTAACGTTTAGAACGCCATGACTTGGAAGTTTCGAACCCCAACCGGTGTTTACAGCACCTGGTGTTTGTAGCACCGATTAGGCTAAGCTATCAGCTCTTGTGTATGCAACGACTTTTACCATCTTGTACAAGACCAAGCTGGATCTCGAGGGTAAAAGCGGGGCAAAAGAGTCAACACCATAGGTTTAAAGCCCGTGGTCTAGCGTTTGTAGCACTATGAAGTTTTGAGCTATGAGGTTTTGAGCCATGAGGTTTTGAGCCTATGTCCTAACGTTTAGAACGCCATGACTTGGAGGTTTCGAACCCCGACCGGTGTTTACAGCACCTGGTGTTTGTAGCACCGGTTAAGCTAAGCTATCAGCTCTTGTGTATGCAACGACTTTTACCATCTTGTACAAGACCAAGCTGGATCTCGAGGGGTAAAGCGGGGCAAAAGAGTCAGAACCATAGGTTTGAAGCCCATGGTCTAGCTAGCGTTTGTAGCACTATGAAGTTTTGAGCCATGTTGTTTGAGCCTTGACCGTGCCCTGACGTTTAGAGCAATCTCTGCAGGTTTTGGACCAGTGACCCCAGTGTTTGAAGCACCGTGAATGATCACGGCAGGTTTCGAGCCTGCTACATGGGGTTTATAGCACCATATCCTACCCGTTAGGCTAGGAAGTCATTTCTTAAATCTGTAATGTTTCTAATCATGGTCATGTGCTGTTTGCAAGGTCGGTGTATCCATGGTAGGGTAAAGAAGATCTTGGGCAAAGAAGAAATTTCTGTAGGTTTCAAGCCTGCGACTAATCAGTGTTTACCGCACCGTCAGTAGCTAAAGCAGGTCTCGAGCTTGCTACCTAGTTTTTATAGCATCATTTCCTACCGTTTAGGCTAGGTGGTCGGTTCTTGTTGATATCTACGGCGTTGCTGAATATAATGAAAACTGCATACGGTACCTTAGGTACTTGAGCACTTAGCTAGTACATACGACCAATAGAGAGCCCAGCAGCCATGGGCCTGGCACTGACAGCACTATCATGGGGCAAAGGTGAGAAAAAGAGTGATTTTTGTAGGTTTCGAGCCTGCTACCTCCCAGTGTTTACTGCACCTGAGTGATCAGAACGGGCTTTGGGCCCGTTACCGGTCTTTATAGCACTACGTCCTGCCGGTTAGGCTAGGCGGTTGGTTCCTATAACTACGACGTTTGCAATGATTATGAAAACCGTAACCCACCAGAACAGAAATCAATTTTGGGACAACCGGTACAGGATCAATCCGTAGTCAGTCCATAGCATCTCCCGCTATCCTACTATATTACTGGATGCAATTCCGTGCAAAAGAGTGACCTCAGCAGGTTTTGAGCCTGAAAATTCAATGTTTACGGCACTACAAGTTTCGAACCTGCACCGGCGTTTACAGCACCCGGTGTTTCTAGCACCCTCAGCTAGCTAAGATAAGCTATCAGTTCTTGTATATTCGTTGATCTAAGCCATGATATCTAATATGTCGAGTCATATAATGGATGATATTTCCGTGGATATCCTTCGGCTAGCAAATGGTAAACTCCGTGGCAGAAGCAAAAGAGTGATCTCAGCAGGTTTTGAGCCTGCGACTGCAGTGTTTACAGCACCGTAAGTTTTGAACCCGCACTCGATATTTACAGCACCGGTGTTAACGTTTCTAGCACTGCAGGTTTCGAACCCTCACTCGGCGTTTACAGCACCCGGTGTTTCTAGCACCAGCTAAGCTAAGCTATCAGCTTTTGTATACTCGTTGATCCATGCCATGATATGTAAAGTTTCGAGTATATAACATAATATTTCTGTGAATTCTTAGCGGTAGTGGATATCTAACTATGTGACACTGCTAGGAAAAGACAAGCTCCGTGGCAGAAGCAAAAGAGTGATCAAATTTCGACAGGGTTTGAGCCTGCTTGCGATTTTGAGTGTTTACAGCACCGTGAATGATCTTATCAGAGGAGGTTTCGAGCCTGCTACCTGGCATTTGTAGGGCCATACTCTGCCATTAGGCTAAGCGATTAGTTCTTGAAATCTGCGGTGTTTTTAACTATGATAATGTACTATAAACTGGACCCGCGGTCACGAGTATCCCACTACGTGGCCGTCTGTTGCGAAAAGGCAGGCGCCATAGCAAACAAAAGATGAGCAAAAGAGTGCTATACGCAGGTTTTGGGCCCGCGATATTTTGGTGTTTACAGCACTGTGAATGATGGAATCTCTGCAGGTTTTGAGCCTGCCTGCGATCTTAAGTGTTTACAACACTGTGAATTGATCAGAGCAGGTTTCGTGCCTGCTCCCTGGTGTTTACAGCGCCATGTCTAACTTACTAGGTTAAGCGATCGGTTCTTGTATATATCTGCAGCGTTTTAGCCACGATAATATCTAGTAGAGTATAGAAACAAATCTGTAGACAGCCCAGTGGGTGTGGCCTGTACTTAATCCCATTACGTGATGTCACTACGAAAAGGTAGGTTCTGAGGCAGAGTAAAAGAATGTTATCTTCGCGACCATCGGCGAGCTTTTCTATCGAGCGGCGGACGCGGAAGTCAAGCCCTAGTATCGGGTAGCAGCAGCACTGTGAAAATACAGGTATCGTAGTAGGATAAAAGAAGAGTAACATAGTGACGTCTCGGCAGGTTTTAACCCGGGTGCCTAAGTGTATATAGCATTCTACAGGTTTCGAGCCTACGACTTGACGGTTATAACACCGTACGCGCTAGACTAGGCGATTAGTTTTTCTGTCGACAGCGATTTTAACCATGGTGTATGTGCTGTAAACTTCCTAGCACAGAACAAATCTGAGGACAGCCCAGCGGGCGTGACGTAGGGATATATTCTACCCTATGGCATTGCTACGAAAAGACTGGCTCCTCGGCCGCGGTAGCATAAGAAAGAAAAGTAAAAGAATACTTCTGTAGGTTTCGAGCCTGTAATATGAGTGTTTAAAGCACGGCGAAATGGGATGATTAGAACAGGTTTCGAACCTGCAATATTATAAGCGTTTACACACACTCTACCGGTTAGACAAAGTGATTAATTCTTATATGTGTTTATTCTTAGCCATAACAATGAAAATAGCATATCAACTTGTCTGAACAGAAGCCAATCCATGAACAGCCCATAATACTACCCTTAGGCCTCGTGGCAGTATAAAAGAAAAGGGTTTGAGCCTGCAAACTTGGTGTTTACAGCACCATGGATGATTAAATCAGAGCAAATTATAGCCTGCGACCTCAGCGTTTCCAACACTTTGAATGGTGTTCAGGTTTTGAGCCTGCGATCTTTTAGTGTTTACAGCAACGTGAGTGATCGGAGCAGGTTTCGAGCCTTCTTCCTAGCGTTTATAGTACCATATCCTGCCTGTTGGGCCAAGTGATCGGTCCTTATATTCTATATATAAGCAGTAGATATGATTGCAATCAAGTGAACTGCTAATATAGATGTAGGCCAATAGCACTAGCTAAATTGCTGCTACGAAGAGGCAAGTAGGCTTCCCGACAGAGCAAAAAGTGGTCTCCGCAAGCTTCTTGCCTGCGGTCTCAGCACTATGATTAGCAGGTTTTGACCCTGCAATTTTTTTGTTTATAGCACGGTGAGTGATCAGGGCAGGTTTCGAGCCTGCATCCTGGCGTTTACAGCACCATGTCCCTATCTACTGGGCTAAGTGATCACTGGTGAAAATCTTTGCAGTCATGCACAGATACAGCTATTCTTGCAAATTGGTGTGCCGCGGGTATTTACCTCCATGTTCCTAGGACATCACTCACGCACCTCCCCTAACCCACAGCGATCTTGGCCGCTTCGAGTATAGTCTTTCCAACCTCACCTGTACGACATCACCCCACATTGATCATGAAAGTTCACGCCGAAATACTCACCGCGGCGTCATCCGATACTCCCGGGACCATAATCCTACTCCATTTCGACTCCAAGCGCTATGTCTTTGGACAATTTGCGGAGGGCTCTCAGAGGGCATTCATGGAGCGGCATGTGCGTCTCAGCAAAGTCAGAGATCTCTTCCTGACTGGTCCTGTGGAATGGAAAAACACCGGAGGACTCGTGGGGATTATGTTGGCTATGGGGGATCCGGATGGAACCCGCACGGAGCAACAGAGGCAGGCAATATATGGTGGTGAGAATCTGTTGTACACACTTTCCACCATGCGGAGATTCGTCTTCCGCACTGGAATGAATTTGAGTGTGAATGAGATTCAAGTGGGGGCACCGGATTTTGTGGATGAGAATGTTGTAATTAGGACACTGCATGTGCAGCCTGATGATGCGTCTGTGAAGGAGCCAGACTGCAAGAGTAAGCAGGAGTTTCTCGGGAAGGCAGTCAACGACATGTTCTGCTCATCGTGGACAATGAACACTATGGTCGACGATCTATCCGAATCAGAAATCCTGGATGGGGGTGAAGACGCCGAATCAGAGCGTAATCCACAGCTATCCACAAAACTTCCACCAAAAGGAAAAACTCGGGCTCCATGGCCAGCATCCACCATTGAAAGCCTTCCCGACACATCCCCAAACACTGTTTCCCTATGCTACATCCTCCACCTACATGAGCAACGCGGGAAGTTCCTGCCAGCACTCGCAAAGAAACTAGGAGTCAAGCCTGGCCCCGACTTCAGCAGACTTTCCCGGGGCGAGAGTATCACCACACCCGACGGTAAGGTCGTTCGACCAGAAGACGTAATGGAGCCATCGCGTGAAGGGACTGGAATCGCCATTTGCGACCTTCCAAACCCCGCATATCTTTCAAATTTTGTGGCGGCATCGGAATGGGCAGATATTGAGGCCGTGCAGCGCAGAATCGGGAGTTTCTTTTGGATAGTGGCAGGCACTGTAATATCGGATCCGCGGTTCCAGGAGTTTGTTTCAAAGTTCCCTAATTCGAAACATATAGTTTCGTCCATGGATGTCTGTTCGGACCGAATCAACTTCAAGGCTGCAGCAAAATCTGCGGTACTGCTGAACTCTCTCGACCCCGAGCTCTTCCCCGAACCTCGTTTGGATTGCAGTCCCAGACTAGCAATCGATACCGGTGTATTCGACATTGCGATCCCCGGGCTACAGTGGCAGCTAGAACCTAAGTGGCATCTCAACACCAAAACTGTAGAGCAGCCGTTTAACCGCCAGGACATCGCCCAGTCCGAAGCACTTTGTGCAGCGGCCAAACAATACCAGGAAACCATCTCCACCATTACACCGTCCGCCGGTGCTGGCCATGACATTGAGATTTTCACACTCGGGACAGGATCCTCCCTGCCCTCGCGACACCGCAATGTCTCATCAACGCTTGTACGCATCCCAGGAGTCGGCAACATACTTCTAGATTGCGGAGAAGGAACACTGGGGCAGCTGAAGCGGCTATTTTCACACGAACCGGGGGGACTAAACCGAGTCCTCACGGATCTCAAGGCCATATACATCTCGCACCTCCACGCTGACCACCATCTCGGCACCACCTCAATCCTTGGTCTGAAGCGGAGTTTACAAAAGGACGAAAAGATACACGTCGTAGCACCTCGGATTTTTCATACCTGGTTGAAAGAATACTCCTGCGCAGAACCTGGTATGGACAAAGTGTTGGAATCGAACATCATTTCCGTTCTCTGCGAGGAACTACAGACGGGGAGTAACCAACTCCCGGCCCCC